CTGTTGATGATGCTGCTGATCATGATGATGCTGATGCTGATGATGATGATGATGATGATGATGATGATGATGATGATGCTGATGATGCTGATGCTGATGCTGATGCTGATGCTGATGATTATGATGATGCTGATGATGCTGATGATGATGCTGATGATGATGATGATGATGATGATGATGATGATTATGATGCTGATGCTGATGCTGATGCTGATAAGCAGGAGGAGGAGGAAGAGGAGGAGGAGGAGCAAGAGCAGGAGAGGGACTGAGGAGTGCTGGGGAGGAGGCGGAGGAGGAGGAGGAGGAGGAGGAGGAGGAGGAGGAGGCGGCGGAGCAGTTTGCGGAGGCAGGGTGGACGAGGAAGTGGAAGAGGAGGAGGATGAAGAGGAGGAGGAGGATAATGAGCGACATGAGGAGGAGGATGAGGAGGAGGAGGAGGAGGATGGAGGAGTAGAACGCGGAAGCGCAGGATCTTCATGATGTTGATGATGATGATGATGATGATGATGATGATGATGATGATGATGATGATGATGATCATGATGATGATGATGATGATGATGATGATGATGATGATGATGATGATGATGATGATGATGATGCTGCGGAGTAGGAGGAGGAGGAGGAGGAGGATGAGGAGGACGAGGAGGACGAGGCGGATCAGTAGCAGGAGGAAGGATGGAAGAGGAAGCGGGGGAGAAACGGTAGGAGGAGGAAGAGTGGAAGAGGAAATGGGGGAGGAGAGCGGAGGAGCAGGAGGAGGAGGAGGAGGAGGAGGGGCGATAGGATGTAGATGTTGATGCTGATGAGTATGATGCTGATTTTTGCTGTTGATGATGATGCTGATGATGATGATGCTGCTGATGATGATGATGTTGATGATGATGATGAAGATGAAGATGCTGATGATGATGATGATGATGATGATGATGATGATGATGATGATGATGCTGATGCTGATGATCATGATGATGGTGATGATGGTGATGATGATGATGATGATGCTGATGCTGATTATGATGATGATGATGATGATGCTTGCGACGAGTGTGATCATGACGATGATGTCGCTGATGATGGTGGTGATGAGGACGATGCTGACGATGACGATGATGGTGATGCTGATGCTTATGCTGATGACGCCGATGCTCCTGTCGCATCTGATGATGCTGATGCTGCTGATGTTGTTGTTGATGATGCTGGTGATGATGACGATGATGATGATGATGATGATGATGATGACGATGATGATGATGATGATGATGATGATGATGATGATGATGATGATGATGATGATGATGATGATGATGATGCTGATGATCCTGATGATGCTGATGCTGCTGCTGGTGCTGATGGTGATGCCGATGGGGGGAAGGGGGGAGGATGAGGAAGACAATGAGGAGTTGGACGACTGGGGATGACGAAGAGGAGGAGGAGGTGGAGGAGGAGGAGGACAGAGACGAGGAGGAGGAGGAGGAGGAGGAGGAGGAGGAGAATGAGGCGACGGAAGAGGCGGATGAGGAGGATGAGGGGAATTAGGGGATGAGGAGCGGGAGGAGGCGGATGAGGAGCAGGAGGTGGAAGAGGGGGGGGGGGAGGAGCAGGAGGAGGAGGAGGCGGAGGAGGAGGAGGAGGAGGATGACGAGGAGGAAACGGAGAAAAGGATAAGGAGTTGGAAGATGAGGGAGCGGAGACAGAGGATGATGAGGAGGAGGATGATCAGAACGAGGATGAAGCGGATGACTTGCTTGACTGCAGTTGGGTTATGGGCGCCGACGCCTTGGGGAGGCGGAGCGATAGGAGGATGAGGAGGAGGAGGGGGCGGAGGAGACGTAAGAGTAAGACGAGGAGGAGGTGGAGGAGGAAACGGAGGCAGAGAATGTGGAAACGAATATTGTTGTTGATGGTGATGATGATGGTGCTGGTGGTGATGATGATGATGCTGTTGATGCTGATGCTGATGAGAATGATGCTGGCAATGCTGATGTATATGATGATGGTGTCGTTGGCGATCATGGTGATGAGGCTGGTGATTGTGATGGTGATAGTGGTGATGCGCGTGATGATGACTATGATGCTGATTATGGTGATCATGATGATGAGGATGAGGATGCGACTGGTGAGGATGAGGATGGTGCTGATGATTGTTACGTGTGGTGTTGATGAGGATGACGATGAGGATACCGCCGAGGATGAGGATGCGGATGCTGATGATGATGCGGATGGTGATGCTCGTACTGATGGTGGTGATGATGAGGATGCTGATGATGCTGTTGATCATGATGAGGATGGTGATGCTGATACTTGGTGATGACGATTAGGCTGGTGGTGTTGTTGGTGATGATGCTGAGTATGATGGTGATCATGTTGAGGTTGTTGATGCTGATGAGCGTGATGCTGATCACGATACTGACGCTCATGATGATGGGGATGTTGATGCTGATTATGATGATGCTGCGGCTGACGATGGTGATGATGATGATGACGACATACATGATGCTGATGATGGCGATGGCGATCATGCTAATGCTGCTGCTGATGATGATGCTGATGATGATGATGGTGATGATGATGATGATGGTGATGCTGATGCTGATGCTGCGGGTAAAAGATGAGGATGCTGATACTGATGAGGATGAGCATGCTGTCGATGATGATGCGGATGCTAATGATGGTGACGATGATGACTATGATGATGTTGATAATGCTGCTGATGATGATGATGATGATGATGATGATGATGATGATGATGATGATGATGATGATGATGAGTTCGATGATGATGCTGCTGGTGATGATGATGATATTGATGATGAGTGTGATGGTGATGCTAATGCTGATGCTGATGATGCTGAGGATGATTACGACGATTCTGATGCTGAGGATGAGAATGATGATGCTGATGCTGATTATCATGCTGATGCTGATGGTAAGGAGGAGGAGGAAGCGCAAGAGGAGGAGGAGAAGGAGGAGGAGGAGCAAACTGAGGAGGAGGGGGGGATTGGACGGGGGGGGGGGAGAAAAATGAGGGGGGAAAGGGAAGAAAAGGGGGGGTGGGGGGGGGGAAGGAGGGGAGGCGGAAGCTGGGAGGAGGATGGAGGATGAAGAGGAGGAGGGGGAGGAGATGGAGGAGATGAGGAGGAGAGGAGGAGGAGGAGGAGAGCAGGGGGGAATGACAGAGGATGCGGGAGTAAGAAGTAGGAGCTGAGATGTGATCATGCTTGATGATGATGATGCGATGATGAATGAATGATTGATGATATGATGATGCTGATGATGCTGATGTATAAAGCGTGATGATGCTGATGATGCTGTGCTGACGCTGATGTCGAAGCTGTTGATGCTGATGATGATGATGATGATGATTATGAGGATGATGATGAATGCTGATGTGATGCTGAGGGTGATGGTGATGGTGATGGGTGATGACGATTATTGATCTGCTGCTGATGATGATGATGGATGATGGATGATGATGATGATGATGATGATGATGATGATGAGAGAAGGAAGAGGAAGGTGAGGAGTGCTGATGATGAGGGGAGGAGGAGAAGGAGTAGGAGGGGAGGAGGAGAGGAAGGAGGAGGAGGAGGAGGAGGAGCAGTAGGAGGAGGAAGGTGGAAGCGGAAGCTTAGGAGGAGAAGTTGAAGGAGGATGAGGAGGAGGAGGCGGAGGAGGAGGAGGAGGAAGGCGCAGGATGAGGAGGAGGAGGATCAAGTCTGAGCAGGACGGAGAGGAGGAGGAGGAGGAGGAGGAGAAGGACGGAGAGAACAGAAGGATAATGAGGATGAGGATGATGATGAGGAAGAGGAAGAGGAGGAGGAGGAGGAGGAGGAGGAGGAGGAGGAGAAGGAGGGAAGGGAAGAGGAGGAGAGGAAGAAGAGAGAGGAGAGGAAAAGCAGATGTCGAGAGGAGGAGGAGGAGGAGAAGACTGAGCAGGACGAGAGGAGGAGGAGGAGGACGAGGACGAGAGGAGGAGGAGTGAGGAGGGGATGGATAGAAGAGGAGGGGCGAAGATTGAGGAGAGGAGGAGATGAGGAGGATAAAGAGGATGAGGAGGATGAACGCTCTGCTGATGATGATGATGATGCTGCCGATGATGATGAGATATGGATGAGATATGGATGAGATGAGATGACTGATGATGGTGCTGCTATGATGCTTGGATGATGTTGCTGATGATGATGATGATGCTGATGCTGCTGCTGATGAAGATGATGATGATGATGATGATGATGATGATGATGATGATGATGATGATGATGATGATGATGATGATGATGATGATGTTGATGCTGATGCTGATGATGACGATGACGATGATTATGTTGATGATGTTGATGGTGATGGTGATGATGACGATGATGATGCTGCTGGTGATGATGAGGATGATAGATGATGATGACGGTGGTGTGGTGATGATATGATGATGATGATGATGATTGATGATGATGATGATAAGGATGAGGAGGAGGAGGAGAGGAGGGGAGAGGAGGAGGAGGAGGAGGATGGAGGAGGAGGAGTAGGAGAGGAGGAGAGAGGAGGAGGAGGAGGAGGAGGAGAAGAGGAGGAGGAAGAGGAGGAGGAGGCAGCGGTAGGAGGAGGAGAGGAAGGCGGAGGAGGAGGAGGAGGAAGAGCAGGACGAGGAGCAGGACGAGGGAGAGGAATTTTGTTCGAAGGCAGTCGGGTTGTGGCACAGACGCCCTGGGGAGGAGGAAGGAGCGATTGAACGAGGAGGCGGAGGAAGAGGAGCGAGGAGAGGAGGAGAGGAGGAGGAGGGAGGAGGAGTAGGGAGGAGGAGAGGAGAGGAGCAGGAGGAGGAGTGGAGGAGGAAGATGTGGAGGAGGAGGAGGAGAAGGAGGAGGACTGAGGAGGACGGAGAGAAGGAGGTGGAGGAGGAGGAGGAGGAGGAGGCAGAGGAGGAGGAGGAGGAGGAGGAGGAGGAAATTAAGGAAGTGGAGGAGGAGGAGGAGGAGGAAGATTTCTGTTTGTGTCCCCAGGAAGAGCACCAGGGCCCACGGCGGGACGAGCGCCGGGACCGAAAGCACCGGAAGCACCGTCGCCAGGACGGTTCTGCCGAGCCGCGCGCCGACAGGGGCGAGCCGCACGCGCAGCGGCACCAGCCAGGTCCTCCTGCTGCTGCTCTTCCCCGCTCCTCCCCCTCCTCTGCCTCCGCCGCCCCCTTCTCCTCCATCGCCTCCTCTCGCTGCTCGTCGTCGTCCTCCTCCTCCTCCTCCTCCTCCTCATCCTCCTCCTCCTCCTTTCTCCTCCTCCTCGTCCAGTACTGGACGCTCCCCGGAAGCCCTCCAGCTTCGCCGCCGCCGCCGCCGCCCCTCATCGCGCCAGGCAGCTGGCCGGGCTCCGCTCCACCCCCTGCCGCTCCTGCCTCCCTCGGTGGCAAGCGCGACGACGGAGCGGCCGCTCCGAAGCAGTGGAACTGGGCCGAGGAGATGGTCAAGGTGCCCTCGGGCTCTCCGCCGCCTCATATTCCTCCTCATCGTTCTCATCGTTGTCCTGTGTATCTTCCTCGTTGACCTGATACTCGTCGTCGTCGTCGTCGTCCTCATCATCATCATCATCCTCATCATAATCCTCATCATCCTCATCATCATCATCATCAGCATCAGCAGCATGATCATCATCACCGTCATCCTCATCCTCCTCATCATCAGCATCATCATCATCATCATCGTCATCACCATCATCATCACCATCACCATCATCATCACCAGCATAGTCATCATCCTCATCGCCACCGCCATTATCATGATCATCATCATCACCATTACCATTGCCACCACCTCAGCCATCATCATCATCGTCGTCATCAGCATCGTCATCATCAGCATCATCGTCATCATCATCGCCATCGTGTTCATCATCATCATCACCAGCTTCGTCATCAGCATCAACAGCATCAGTATCATCAGCTTAATCGTTACCAGCATCACAATCAACAGCATCATCGACATCAGCATCACCATCAAATCCGCATCATCAGCATCATCATCATCGCCATCATCATTATCATAGTCATGATCATCATCACCAGCATCATACAGCGACTTGTCGGCATTTGTGGGTTTGCATGTGGCCGCACCTCCTTGCTCAAGTTCTTGAGGGAATGTAGGCATTGTTCGAACGCCTCACGCACGATCTCGCCAGTGCCCTCTCCACAGCTCTCATCGTCCGAGGCAGTTTGCCTCCGTGTCCCGCCCGCGATTGCGTGTGCTCGCCCGCGCTGCACTGTCCCGCGCTGGAGTGCCGCTGCCCAGGCGGCTTGGGTGCGGTGACCGCCGCCCCCTCGGAGGCCGAGGCCTCGGGCTTCTCGGGCACCGCGCTGGGCACCTCGCTGCTCCTCGGCGCGCTGGGCGGCTGGTCGCTCGCCCGCTGGGCCTCGCGCCACGCGGCGCCCTCGACTCGGGGTAAGCCGTTCGCGCTGGAGGCAGACGTGCGCACGACCGACTTGGCAGCGGAGGCGGCAGCGCAGGCTGCGCGCTTTCGCAGAGCGTAGTCGTGATGGCGACGCCCGCCGCTGGCCAGTTCCACCTGGTGAGGTACAGCGTGGGAGGCCCTGCGATCTACCACGAGCGCCTGACGCTGTTGCCTGGGTACATTCTCACGCCCGACGGCGATGACTATGCCGAGGTCGCCATCCCGAATCACGACATCCGATCGATTCACATTCTCAGTGGCCAAGGTGAGGGGCGTCCAGGGATACCGCCTCAGCATCTATATCAGTTTCGGCAGCTGCCTCGGGCCGCTGAGGCGTGGGCGGCGCTTCGCCGCGCGACGGCCCAGGGGTTCGGAGCGACGCCTGCGTCGCCGTTCTGCATCGACCTGAGTGCCACCAACGTGCTGGGATTGGCCGCTGGCGCGTTGCCGCTCCCCGACCCTGCAGCCGTCGCGCCTGGCGCGGGCGCTGGGGCCCTGGCGCCTGCGGGGGTCCCAGGGTTGCCTGGCGGCGCCGCCCCCGCGGCGGGCGCCCTGCCGGCTGCTGGTGTCGCCGCCGCGCTGCCCGCCCTCGGCGGCCCTGCAGCTGCTGGACCCCCCGCTGGAGCTGGCGGTGTCGGCGCCCTGGCGGCCGCCCTCGGTGGCGGAGGAGCTGGAGCGCCAGCCGCCGCGGCCCCAGGGCCTGGTGCCGCGCCCGCCGCCGCTGCGCCGCCTCTCGTCGGAGACCCGCGGGTGATGGCGCTGGTGCTCGACGGCCGCGGTTTTCGGGACACCACCTTCAGCGACGCGGTGAAGCTGCAGACGGAGACGGCGAGGGCCGACTGGCCAGTCAAAGGCCCTCGGGCGCTGCTTTGGGTCCTCGGGTTCATGCTGCGTATGGCTGGAGGTGCTATGGCATGGCACAACATATGGATTGCGATGATGCAGCTGGGAGAGTCCGACGAGAACGCGAAGCTCCACGAGACCTTGTGCCGCGTGATAGAGACCGCCTTCTGCCGCGACCAGCTGGTGATATGCGAGCTGGCCTCGTACGAGTACCTCGCCCGTCAGCTCCAGTTGGTAGAGGAGCGCGTGTTCGAGGAGCGCGCGCGCAGGAGCCAGCCCGTGCCGAAGGCCAAGGCTCAGGCCAAGGAGCTGGGGGCTGCGGACTTCGGTTCAGAGGTCGGCCACTTCCTCGGCACGGAAGAGACGAAAGGGAACTTGTGCATCTGTCCTGCTTTGATGGATTGGATCGCCGATCAGATGAAGATGGAAGCAGCTGTCGCGAAAGAGCGCCGCAAGGCCCGTGAGGAGCGAGCCTTGCGGGCGCCATGACACCCCCTCAGGACCTTGGCCGGGATGGGCCTCACGAGCCTGTTTCCGTCGCTCGTGAGCCTGGCCAGGATTGCCCAGAGGCCCTCGTGCCTCCGCCTGGTCTGGACGCGCCCACACGTGGTGCCGATCGCCAGCGCGACGTTTTTCCGCTACCTCGTCTTCCTGTGGATGGGCGCCGCCATCTTCCGCTGGGCCGCGCTGCTCGTCTGCGCGCTGCCAAAGGCGCGGGCTGGCGCGAGTGGTGCAACGAGGGGTTCACCGCTCTCAACTGGCTCCATAGTGGCCGCGACGCGGAGCACCTCCCGCAGGTCGGTGGCGACCCGCCCGCCGCGCAGGCTGCCTCGGTGGACTACCTCTCGAGCTTGCATCGGGAGTTCGAGCTGCCTGCCGCCTACTCGGAGAGGAGCAGCGCCTGCGAAGCATCCCTGGTAGAGATGCTCGCTCAGGCTCCTGGCTACCCTGGTGGCAGCGGTCGGGTCCGCCCCTACAGCCAGCCTCTCGTGGCCTGGCCCAAGTCGACGAAGGCTGTGTCCACCTCCGACGTCGTCTCGGATGCCGACTCCATCGCGCTGCAGGGTTGGAGGCAGACTATGCTGAATTCCGAGTCGGTTGCTGCGGAGCTCCGCGACGCGTTGGGCATTCAGCGCCCGTACGTCGATCCCGAGCTTCGCTATCAGCCTAAGTCTTACGCTCAGTTTTGGAAGCAGCTGGAGGCCCACGACATGATATCATGGAGAGCCGCCAGTTCTCAGTCTTCTCACACAATCGGTTTATTCTTCGTGGAGAAATCCAATCACATGCTTAGGCTCGTGTTCGACACTAGGCTGGCTAACTGCAGCTTTGCCGCGCCGCCAGCCACCAAGCTTCCCACGCCCAGTGCGCGGGCCAGTGTCGATTGCGGCGACAGCTTCGTTCTTGCACAAGGCGATATTCAATGTGCTGTTTACCACTTGCGCTAGCCTCGATGGGGTCGCTGTTCTCGCCGCCCGCGATCTCCAATCGTCACATCGGCCTCGCATCGATTAATGGGAGGCCCGTCGGTATCCACGATTTTGTGCAGCCGTTGGTCACAGTTGTTCCCATGGGGTGGAGCTGGGCCCTTCACTCTTGTCAGAGCGCCCTCGTTCGTACCTTAACCGACGCTGGATTCGACAGTGGTGACATGATCGTGGACGGAGGATGCCCCCGTAAGTTAATCTCCCACACCGACGCCATATGTGCTGGATACGTTGGCAACTTCTGCGTTGTGTCAAAAGACCCTGAGATTGCCACTCGCCGTGCTCGTGAGGTCGCCGACCTTCTAACGTCCCGAGGCTTGCCTGTCCTGGAGTTCTCGGAGGCCGTCAGTAAGGGTGTCTTCACGGGCTTGCAGATTGACGGTCTCTCGGGTGTCGTTCGAGTTCGGCCCGATCGCCTCGCGCGTGCGCGGCAGGCTGTTCTCGGACTCTTACGACGTGGTCGGGCCTCTGCGGGGGCTCTCAGCGTGCTGGTGGGCCACTGTACTTGGGGTATGATCTTGAGGCGGGATGTCCTGGCGATCTTCAACTCAGTCTATAGGTCCATCAACGTGGCGGGCGCTCAACCCGTGCCTCTTTGGGATTCCGTTGTTAGGGAATTTCGAGCCGCAGTTGCCTTGATCCCCCTTTGGAGCGCCTCTACTAGGTCCAGGTGGTCGTCTAGGGTCTACGCGTCTGACGCGTCGACGTACGGGAAGGCCGCGTGCGTCAAGGTGATCCCCCCCGACCTGGTCTCGGAGGTTGGCCGCGTGGCCGAGAAGTGGGGGCGCCACCAGGGCTCCAGTGTGCTCGCGAGGGCCCACGCCTTCAGCCCCGTTGAGCCCCATCAGGATGCCGCCGACCGTGCTCCTCCTGCCGCGCCGCTGCCTGCTGCTGTTGTGTCGTCGTCGACTACGTCTAGCTTCTTGGAGGTTCCCGAGGCTGTCTTTGGGTTCGACGGCTGGAAGACGATCCACTCGAGCAGGCACACGCTGTTTGGGTGTGATATTTTGCCGTATGAGGCTGAGGCCTTGGGGTTCAGCATTCACCATGCCTCGAGGACCCTCGGAGTCCACCATCATCGCATGTTATGCCTCGTTGACAACTTGGCTCTAGCCCTCGCTGTTGGCAAAGTGCGGTCGGGGAGCCCGCATCTCGTGCGCGCGCTGAGGCGGCTCTCGGGCGTCGCCTCGGCATGCGGGCTGCGGCTGCTGGTCCGATGGGTGCCCTCTGAACGGAATATCGCCGACAAGCCGTCGAGGGAGGGCTTCTTCGTCGGGCCGAGCTTCGAGGACCTCCTGGAGGGGCAAGTCGCGCGGCGGCCTCGTCGGGCCAAAGGAGGTGATCAAGACCGCGAGGGCTCGGAAGACCCACCCTGGGCCCTCCAGTCT